GGATTGTACCCTTTGGAGACCAAGTGGGAGAGGATTTTCAGAGAGAGCTCACCGCAGTTGGAGCTAATCAGGTTGTGTAGGAGCTTGTTGCAGGTAGAATGACTCGGGAGCTGTGAGGTTCTTCGCAGGTGACCAATTAACTGGAGGGTTTCTCTGATCATTCATGGATGGTATCGGGTGTGCTGTGTCGTCGGGTGTGCTGTGTTTGGCGGTTGAGCTAAGAAAATTCAGGGTTTTGCTGGGGTTTAGGCTTGCACCTTCTTGACGATGTCGTTTCTCAAACGAAGAGTGGAAGTCTATTTTGGACGGACCATTTGCTTATGTGGAGATAATTGGGCTTGGATATTTTTCCTTAGCCTAAATTGCTCTAAGCACCCAATAAGAGAAGGCCTCTTGGATTTTAGAACAAAAGTGAAAGGCTATCCGACATGGGCTCTTGTGACCCATATGGACATTGGTGGGCCACAAGATGCATAACTTGGATTCCTTTTTCTTTTTTTTAATTTCTTTACCAATAGAAACTAAAATATGAACGTGTATGTTTGTGTTTGTGTTTTTATTTTTCAGCTAGAAATACTTTTTTTTTTTTTTTTAATTACTCAGTCTTTTGTATTTAAGCTGTTCATTTTAGATGCATTTAGGGACATTGGTACTAAGATAATTGGACATCTACCAACTTTTTTTGTCATTTTTAAAAACTAATAGAGAAGATTTGAACTTGAGACATCTTCTAACATTGACATTAGAATTATCACGTAGATTATTTTGAACAATAAATACTTCGATGTCAAATAAGCATACAATTATTCTTTTTACCGTACAAAAAATGAAAGTGAAAATGTTAACAAATGGTTACAATTAAATTCACGGTTGGGTGTATTATTTTAACTTATAATTTCTAAGATGTCCACCGCCGCCACACCTGCCTGCGCACCAAAACAAGTAATAACTGGATGCGGCAGTTGGCACTACTAATTTGCTTCAGCTTCCCTTCAGTCCCACTCTTTTGGTCTTAAAAGCCATGACTTTCGGCTTCGTTAAGCCCATTTCCAGCGACTTCATATTTTGTTTATTATAATGGCAACAACAACAAAAAAAACAGCAACATGCGATTCTTCCTGATGTTTTAGATTTCAACTCTTTTTTTATTTTTTAATGTTTGAAATGAGTATTGGGCTTTCATCCAAGGTTGAACAGATGAACCCAAGCCCAGCCATGACCACAGTTCAAGTTGGTTCAAAATCAATTAAAGCTTTGATAGCTTTAAATTAAGTCGACTTTTAATACTGCCCCACTATTTTTTTGTCTTGCAATGCAACACCAAAAACCGAAAATGAAGTTGACAATAAACCATCATTTCTTGTCT